GCCCCTACATTTGTACCCTAAAGTTCAAAGTGGGGATCCAGCCTTGACAGTGAGCTTAATACTTATTAACATTAAATTATTAAAGTCAAACATTAAAGAGGGCACAGTAAATAAAAAAGGAACAAATGCATTGTTAAGTGAACTCTTTCATATTTGGAGTGAGAACAGCCATTGCATTAATGTTGAAAATGCATTTACTTTATGGGCCTGATTTTGTCCCATCATTACACATTTTAAAAAAAAGTCAGAACAGTGTAAAAGTTGTTAGTAATTCCCTCAATGGATAAAAAAGTTTTAAGGAATGAGAATGTGTGTGTGTGTGTGTGAGAGAGAGAGAGAGAGAGAGAGAGATTCTTGGTTTTTTTTATCCATTTCCTTTCTTTCAACATATCAGAGGCAAAATGATTCAGTTCCATAAACAAAGTTATTAATTAACAGGGACCACAGAGAAAGACACTTCCCATAAACTTGGATTTGCAAGAGTTTGTAACTTTACAAAACAGAAATATACAATTAGTTAATTCATAACAAATCTTCCTTTGAATGCATTGGGAATAGAATCAGGTCCATCCAGTTTTCTTGAATAAAATAGAGAAGCAAAGAAATAAATTATTTAATCAAATAACCAGAATAGTCAGGAGTTATATTGCAATGAAAGCAGAGGGGAAAATAGCTCACATATCATTTTGAATATATAGTTCAAATGCAAAGTTTGTATTCAGAGAAAGACACATTTATCCTGGGATTATTAGATCATTTTGCAGTTACTAATTCATGCAGGGAATAACGGTCTACTAGGAGAAATCAAGGGAGATAGTATTCGATTGACAGAAGCTCACCTACCTGATACGTCCTGGAAATAAGCTTTGGAACAGTTTTGAGCTCTCTCTGGTGTTCCCAGGTTTCTAAAATCCTCATCCATTCTCCTCTGGTTAGTTTACATTGTCAGTGACTATTTCAGTGATGAGACTGCAAAATTAATTCTTAATAAGAAATTACAGAAAGAGCTGAATCCTGTTTTTTTCTTCCATATTTCTGCCAAAATAATGTTTATTTTTTGTTGGACACTGAAGAGAAATGTGTCGCTCTCGATGCCTTCACTAAGCTAGAAAGCAAAAGTAAAAAGGAACTGGACAGCTATGGTGATTTCAGTCCCTATCACACCCTAATTACGATTTGAAGGTAAGGATCCTTTCCAAAGAAGCCATCCTAGCGTGGCAGTGTTGATGACAGCAAACTCAGACATCCAAGTGCCCCAATCTGGCTGAAGGCAATGAGTATTTTGAAGAGGATCTGCTTACTGCTTGTTGAGAACTGCTCAATACTGTCCTGATAATCATTATATTTTTCATCTCATGCTCCAAATGGAAACTCACCTTTTAATTACTTAAGCAACAAGCAACCTTTGTACTGCTAATCTGGAGTTTCTTGTAAAATGAATTTCTTTACTGCTGTAAGGTTGAAGGTTAAAGCCCAACCCATCTCTGTTCTCAGGTAGGAGTCAAACAGGGATCAAACTGCAGTTAGCTGATTCTAATTTCTGATTGGTCAGCAGACATAGCGCTCTCTTTGTGACAGGATCCCTGGGGTACAACCTGGATCCAAGGTACCACTGTGACCCTTTAACTTTGCTAGTGAAAAGCAGCAAACCCGTCCAGGCTCTGTTATCATTCAGCACAACAGCATGTGGTGCCCCACACCCAGCTAGATTGCCTGAACGCTCCCAGAGCCACTCACAAATCACACAGAGAAAGGCACCAGCCAATGTCTCCCAGGTCCCCAGCCTTACACCCCAGAGCTGTACCATCTTGCCCAGGTCAGAAGCCTGGCCAGTGTAAGTTTATAACCTAGTCTGTCCTTCCCTCAGTGTGGAGAGGACATGCACCAGTCTTTATAACAGCTGAGATTTCCCAAGCACTACAACCAAAACCCACTGTTTTAGGTAAAATATAAGATTTATTAATTACAGAAATATAGATGTTAAATTATTAGAAGTGATAGGCATAAAAGATCAGAGACAGTTACCAAAGAAAATAAAAGATAAACCTACAATCTGAATCCTAAACTTTATTACACTAGGCAATATTTAGATCAAACAAATTTCTCAGCTTACTGAATGGTACAGTCCTTAATAAACAGACTTCAGCTTTAAGCCTGGACCAGTCTCCTCAGTTGAAGTCTTTGTCTTATCAGTGTTTTTGTTGCTTCCAGATTAGAAGGGGGAGGAGAAAGGTGAAAGCATGGTGCCACTGCTCCCTGTTTTATATCCATAGTCCATGTGCCAAGAAGACACTTGCCCAGACTTGGCCTGGTGGGCTTTGCTGAGTCACTGGGTTGAGCAATCCCCCTGGTGTGGTCTTCTGCAACTGAGTCATAGGGTTGAGCAGTGCCCATTGTATGGGGGTGCTGGGGCTCCTGCGCTGTACAGGGGATGGGCAAACCAGAGACCTCCTGTCTCCAAGGCTCTCAGGCCATTTGTCCAGTCTGGCTGCAGAAGAGGATCTGGGGACACACGGAGGGGGCCTGGGAGAGTCTGGGGAGCAGCCACTTGGGACCAGAAATGGAAATCCAGCTGTGCTGAGAAAGGAGAGCTTGCCAGGGATGTGGCTGGTTGCAGGGGCTGCTGTACAGCTGGATACAATGTTGCAGCTATGTAATGCAGTGCACTGTGGAATTTGTATGTTCTTGTAGTTGGATGGTGTGAGCAGAAATTATTTTCCTTAAGGGAAAGGCTGGCACTGCTCCTTGTTTTGCTGGAGAATGCACGGCTGGAGATTTGTAGCCATCAGTCACGCTCCTTCATTCTGCTCCTGTTTCATTTGGCTGACCACTGCAGCCAGGATTCTTTTGTGGCAGCATGACTTTGAGATCAGATTCAATAGGGGATCTGGGGAGTGGCCTTCTGGAACCAGAACAGGAGCTGCAGCTGCAATGGGGAAAGAGGTGTTGCTGGGGCAGCAGCTGGTAACTTAATGAGCAACTGGATACAATATTGTTACAGATCCTGACACACACTGTGATGAGATACATTGTTACTTTTGTGTAAGGCAAACTGGTTACATGGTTGTAAACTTGCTTCTAAGCAGATTTCCTGCTGTGCGGCAGCCCAATACTGTCAGCTCTGGTGGATGGGCTCAGGCAGAGGATCTCACTCCTGTTGGGGTTTTCGCTGGTGAATGTATTGCCTGAGAATTGTAGTCACCAGTCAGACACATGTGATATGCAGATATTTTTGGCCAACAGACATGGCCTAGAGGAGCTGTGAGGAGGAGGCTGGAGAGATGAATCCCTCAGCCCATGTCACTTGCAGCTGACTGCCAATGAGACAATTCCCAGACTGCTTAGCAGAACAGTGGGATGGGGGAATGGGGATGCTCATCACCACCACCACCACCAACGACAAAAAATGTGGGCTGGGGTGAAGAGAAACAAGCCAGAAGCATTGAGTACAAATCATCTCACTGCTGTTGAGTGCTGTTTGTATTTGCAGGCACCTCCCAGCCCTTATGACTGACTAGGACTTCACATTCCCAGCCCTTGAAGGTAGTCTAGTATTGGATACCTTTGCAGCCTATTTTGCTAATAAGTTAACAGAGAAGTTGCACAAGGTCACTGAAGTCAAAATGGGAAATACAGCCAGGATCTCCAACAGGGAAGCCTTGGCTACTCAGCCCCACTGCCTTGGCTGAAAATGTCAACTATATGTTTATTGGTTCTCCTGTCGCTAACTGTTAACCCACACCAGAGCCAGGAGTAGGAGCCCAGAGTCTGGATCATAAATGTTCTACTGACGACTAGCAGATACTTGTGTAACCCACTGCTACAGCCCATGTCATGTTTCCTCCAGCAGCTGGCCCACACACAGCCCAACAATTATTTCTAGATGGGGTGTGTGGAGGGTATCTGATAGGGTTACCATATTTAAAAAATAAAAAAAGAGGACACTCCACGGGGCCCTGGCCCCGCCCCTTTCCCACCTCCGGCACTGCCCCAACTCTGCCCCTACTCCGCTCATTCCCCCAAAGTCCCCGCCCTAACTCCCCCTCCTCCCTCCCAGCCACGCGAAAAGGGCTGCCCAAGTGCTACCGGCTTCACGGTTTGCCGGGCAGCCTCCAGACCCTGCCACCCCCGGCTGGTGCCTTCCCCAGCACAGCTTTCCCACC